GTGGCATGGCGTTCGTGTTGCGAGAGCGCGCGGCGCCAAAGCATCTTCCGCGGCGGGGGAAGGTGGGCTTCCAAACGGACGGGCGCGCCCCCCGTAGACACACTTAGGCCACGAAACGCCTCGCTGCTCTCGAAATGGCTTGCTTCCGGGCCGCGGAGGCGCGCAGAGACCGGGCATGGGGCAATCACGTCGCCACCGCGGAGCAGCACGCTGGGGACATATCCCATCAGAAATGGGCGCGCGGTGTGCTTCGACGCCCCACTTGTGCGACCACTGAGGCGCGTGGCCTGCATTGGGTCATTTGCCAATTTGAAGCCCACGCCGGTTAAGGCCGCACCAAAGAGTTTTGCACCGGGCTTCGGCCCATGTTGCTCACTTTGCGAGTGTTGTTTGGCGTCGCGATTGCGCTGCCCTTGCGGCGGACAACGCCAAAGTACACTCGCAAAGTGAGCAACATGGGCCGGTGCCTGGGGGTGTCGTAAAGGCTTCCCGCGCATACGGTAGGGAAGGCAGGCGGAGGCACGCGCAGGGCAGTCGCCTTGAGGGGGTCGGCGCCAGGGAGAGGCGGCCCAGGCGCTTGCGCGGCGAGGTATGGCAGGCCGGGGCGGCAGCTCTCCCACCGCGTCCACTGAGGACCTGGCGGGGCCGCTGTGTCCAATAGGCTTTGTCGCTTTAGCGCTTGAGTTCTTGAGTTCCTGGAGGAGAATGATGCCGGATTGGTGCCGCGCCAATCCGGCAGCAAGGGCTACGCTCTTGGCGCGCGAAATGCTTGCGGCGTTCCGCCTCCAGGCAAATTTGAAGCCCCCCTCCCCCGGGGCCCGGATACTTTCGGACGCCACCGCGGCGGGCGGCACCCACTGGATGGCGGTAACGAAACGCTTGTGAAGTTTCGTCAGCCGATCTGTGGGCAGTCTGTTTTGCTTCCCGCGCCTGGCGCTCTGCAAAAAAGTCCCGAGAGGCGAGGTTGTCTTGGTCTTCATTTCTTCCGCGGCGGTGCTCCGCTGCGGGGTTCTGGTGCCTAAACAAACCGCAAGCACCGCGCCGAGGCGCGACCGCATCGCTGACGCGCCGGGAAGGGGGAGGCAAAAAATAAGGGAAGCAAATGGATTCTATTTTTTTTTTTTTCTGTAAACATTGCGGTCGCTATTGGCCAGCATTGCGAGGGCCGTCCGCAAGAACCGGAGAGGCTTGTTCGTTTTGGACGGAGCAATGTGGCGGGCTGAAATGGCACAAACATCCGCATG